CCTGAAGTAGCATCTACCAGTTGGTCGATCTTGGGTAGAGGAAAGCTGTCTTTGGGGCAGGCTTTGTTGCGGCTGGTAAAGTCTACACAAACCTTCTATTTGCCATTCTTCTTTTTTACTACTACTGTGTTGGACAGCCATGTTGGGTACTGAACTTCTCGGATGGCCCTGGCCTCCAGGAGTCTGTCTATCTCTTCTTCTACAGCTTCAACGTGCATCAACGTCGGTCTTCTGGCTCGTTGAATCACAGGTTTTGCCGACCTGTCGACATTTAGTCTGTGGTAAGTGACCTCGGGGTCAATGCCAGGCATTTCATAAGGTGTCCAGGCGAACACCTCTATGTTTGTCCTCAAAAAATCTTCCAGTTCTCTTTCTTCTTCTTTAGCTAAGCCTGAGTTGAGAAGAAAGAAGCGCTCTTCGTCGCCCTCTTGGACGAAAACTTTTTTTAGTGCCTCTTCGCTCTTTTCGGCTGGTTCTTTCTCGACGTCTTCTAGGACCTGCATGTCCTCATTTTCAACTTCTGCTTTCCTTGGCTCTCGTATACTACAGGTGGACTTCATTGCTGTCATGGAGCAATTTTTTGCTTGCAGTTGATCTCCTCTGACTTCTTCAATCCCATGCTCTGTTGGGAACCGTAGTAGTTGATGCAACGTTGAGGGAACTGCCCCCATTGCATGCAACCACGGTCTTCCAAGGATGATGTTGTATGGTGAGGGTGTGTCAATTTAAAGCCGACTATCGGGCCGCTTGATTGTTCTAGGTCATCGGGGTGAAGGCCTAGCTCCTTGTAACATCTGACATACATGATGTCACAGGAGCTGCCTTGATCTATTAGGATGCGTTTTACTTGGCACTCCCCAACCTGGAGGGATATTACCAAGGAATCATTATGCGGATGTTGGACCAATTCTAGGTCGGCTTCGGTAAAGGCTATCATTGGCCCTTGGCATTCTTCTGGCCGATGTCTCTTCTCCTCGACTTGGTAGATATGCTGTAAATGTCTTACCCTCTGGGTCTCTCATCTGACTTCGTTTTTGTTGAACCTAGAGTGGATCACATTAACTACTCTCGGTCCTCCTGCTGGTGGTAGTTGTGCTGGGGGAGGTGGTGCTGCTGGTGCTTGAGGCAACCTTGCCTGTTCTTCCCTGGTCCTGGCCTCATCGACCAGGTCCCTCAGAAGGCCTTGTCTTACCAGGTCCTCCAAGTGTGCTTTCAAGGCTCTGCAACCTTGAGTTGGGTGCCCTTCTTCATTGTGGTAGGCACAACGTCTACCAACGTTCCTTCCCATGAATTCCCCTGGTGCTCTTGCCGGAGCCCTGAAATAGGGTTGATTTCGAATCTGGTCTAAGACTTTATGGATTGGGATCCGGAATACTGTTGTTACCGCCTGTTTATTTCTCAACTCTGTTTCTTGTTTGGTCGGTCCATTGTTGCCTCGGTTTCGCTTCGGCGAGCCGTTTCCCTTTTCTTGTTTTATCTCTTTGTTTCCGGATGTATCTTCTTCGGCTCTGGCATACTTCTCGATTCTTGCCATGAGTTCTTCCATGCTTTTTGGCAATGTTTTTGCCAAAGACTTCCATAGCGGGCAGTCATCTTTCAGGCCGCTCTTGAAAGACACGACCGCTACCTCTTGGTTGTATTCGGGTATTCGGTTGAACACCTCGTAGTACCTCTTCGCATAGGCCCTAAGGCCTTCTTCCTTGGTGATTCTTAGAGCCATCAAAGCATCAACCCTCAGGGGTTGCAGCTTATTGGTCACGAACCTGGCCACAAACATCTCGGCCAGGCCTTCCCATGTCTTTATGCTTCCCTTTGGTAATTTATGGAACCAATCAGATGCAATTTCCCCAAAGGATGAGGGGAATACTTTGCAGAGCAACGGCTCGTTCCCGCTATATAACGCCATTGAATTCAGGTATAGTCCAACATGAAAGTTTGGATCTGACTTACCATCATAAATTTGAAACCTCGGCATACTGAATCTCTTTGGTGGTTCGAATTTGTCCAGTTCCACCGAGAAGGCTGTCTTCGGCTTTACTGGGGAATTTACCTTGGCTTCAACATTCTGTTGCCTCCTTCTGAGGTAGTCCCTCAGGTCTTCTTTGCTCCTCCCTAGAGCTCGGCTGTCTTTGGATTTTAGTCTTTTTGGTACACTGCTTTCGGCCTCGTGGTGGGCCCTCTTGGATCTTTCTCCACGGGTTGTGTCAAAGCAGAGTACTTGCCCTTGAACATGCCGATGTTCTTTGGGCTCTGGATTCTTCATGTGGTGCGTCCTTCGGGACTCTTTTTGCCTCGGCTCTTCTCGTCCGACTTCCCTGGAAGGCCGGTGAGAATGCCTTCCGCTCCTGGTCTGCTGAGGGACCTCGGGGATTGTTTTTCTTCCGCCCTTCTGGGTGTTGGTTGCTGGTTTCGGCGTATCTTGCAGCGGATATGGGGGTTGCATAACATTATTCTGCATCATGAAGTTGACGACTGACTGAAGGTCTGCCAACTTGTTCGCCAATTCTTTTACTTCCTCATCCCTCCGTAAGCACCTGTCCCTCCATACCTGGAGGTTATATTCATTGTAGTACTTTCCTTGGTCTGTCCTTTTTGACGTGTCGCCCTCCTGGATGACGTCTTTCTCTCTGTGACCCTGGTCACGGGCTTCTGTATTGTGGTTGTCTCCTTCAATGTCAAGGTCAATATCTTGCAGCGAGTATGGTGGTTACATAACATTATTCTGCATCATGAAGTTGACGACTGACTGAAGGTCTTCCAACTTGTTCGCCAATTCTTTTACTTCCTCATCCCTCCGTAGGCATCTGTCCCTCCATACATGGAGGTTATCTTCATTGCAGTACTTTCCTTGGTTTGTCCTTTTTGACGTGTCGCCTTCCTGGATGACGTCTTTCTCTCTGTGACCCTGGTCACGGGCTTCTGTATTGTGGTTATCTCCTTCAATGTCAAGGTCAATTGGTCCGCCACTCCCAGCGGGAGCGTCATCCCCAATATTTTCCTGCTGTCCGTTATTGGCCATCTATTCTTCCTTCGTTCCCACAGACGGCGCCAAATTGTGTGGGTGAAAATATGACCACACTGCCTGCTTAGTGATCAACTGGAGAGCACATGCAAAATAGATGGCTTCAGCAACCTGAAATAGAAAGAAAAGGCTCCGGCGGTGGTTCTTCCACCCGGAGGCACTCCGACGATCAAGTCAGTATATCTCTCAAAGATAATCAAGTGCAAAATTTGATACTCAAAACATAAATTGCATACCTTAGACCCACGGGGGTGCCTCTCTTTTATAATATACTCAATCCAAGTCCTACTAGAAGTATGACTTCTGTGAACTCCAATTTAGTGCTTACTCTGGACTCTTTAAGAGATAAAGATAAACTTCCTAAAAACTTTATCCTTATCTTGGTTAAGTCCCCTCTTCGTCTTAGGACTCTTGTCCTTTATTCGCTTTATCTCGGATTCCGATATCTTCGGAGACAACCTCGGCCTTGTCGAGATCACCTCGGCGTTACGACCAGGACACGTGGCACCTCGGCTGACACGTCGGCGTCACCTTGCCACGTGTTGGTACTCAGAAAATATATCCCCACACTAACCAATTGACGTGTTTAATGAAGTGCTCTTTGATTGATTTGGGCTATGAAATAGCTAACGAGATGGTTTAGTGAGCTTAATAAGGATGCTCTGCTTATAAGAGATCCAAACACAATCTTATGATTTTCCTACTGGCCTAGGCTGGTTTCTTGGTTTAGTCATAGGGATTGTTTGGTGTAACGCTGCTACGTAGTTCAAAAAACACTTGGCCCGAAATGACTCAAATCCAAAACGACGTTGTTTTGGAGGGGGGTTTTTTTTTTTTCAACTGTTTCTCCTCTCCCTCTCTTCACAATCACCAAACTGAAATCAAGCTCAATTTTTTTTTCCCTTCTTGCCGGCATCATCATCATCAACAACACATCATCATCATACACAGATTTTGGACAATTCCCCCCCCTTATATCCTGAAACAGACGGAGAAAGAGAGAAGAGAAAACAGATCTGTGGTTGGCCAGATTGGTTGTGGTCGGGCGGTGGAGAAGAATCAGACATCGGAGGCGACGATTGACGATTGTGATTTGATGATGGCGGCGGCGATTGAGCCAATCAGCAAAGAAGAGACGAGTGCACTCTCTTTCCCCTCCCTCCTCTCTCTTCCTTTCTTTTGTCTCTTTCTATTTCTCTTCTTCTCTCCTCTCTCTTCGTCCATATATAAGAGGGAAAGAAAGAAGGGAAAAAAAAAAAGATTTCGAATTACGAAAGATTATTCTTGTTCGGTGTAAACTTACAAACACGCTTATAACTTTTCTTTTTTATTTTAAAAATTTGTGCCGAAATATTTAGTACATCTTTTTGCTGAGATGAGATAAAAAATAATTTAAATAAGTTTAAAAAAATAATTATGAGAAAAGAGAGGGAGAAGTTATTCTAATTTCTGTTTTTGATTATTAAAAGTTGTACCAACCAGGGCCATAAAAGTAATCGAAAGAATATATGGGACACCATGCCTCTTTGAGTTAGGACGACTCTGCCTATCCACCCAGGCTCATTTTGAGCTTTCATGCATGCAAATTGCAATGATAAAGGCCCAGAATAAGAAATGTACGAGCATCTTCACTTGATAATGTTGTTGTTGCTATCCCTGTGCCATTGTTTGCTTTTCAGCAATCCCGAAATTTTAATTAGGGCTGCAATATGGAACAAATTGTTCCAAGTCCAGCCCCAAAAAACAGAGAGATCTGCCCAAGTTCAAATTTTAATCGAAACTGACTTGTCCAAAGCTTGACTGCTCAAGATCAACTACATGAATTTGAGTTGGACTTCGGTTCGTCCAAATAAACAAAGAAAAATAGAATTGGAACACAAACAATTGATCCAAGAACTAATAATGATGCAAAATTGATGTCTGCTCAAAATCAATAACTAAACTTGAGATATGCTTTTTATCCAAGATATTGTCCCGCTAGTCATAATGAGGCCTCCCAATATGATTTAATGAAATGGGTAGAATTCAAACTAGATCATTTCTTTCCCCCTAGTTTAACTACATTTGGTTCTTTACCAAAAGGGTTGAAACATTTATCATTTTCAGTTTCAAACATCACAAGACACGCAATGAATACACTTCCAATTGTTACCTCGGAATAAGGAGGCCTTGAATTCCCATTATCATGTCAAAGCTATTGTCAAGATGGAATTGTGACGGTTCTTTTTCCCACATTAAATCTTCTTGTCATTCTCAGAACTCGCCTTGCTCATGGTGGTTTCTAATCCCTAAAATTGCTTAACTACATTATTCTAAGGTCTACAAACAACGATGAGAACTTAAAAATTCTCAACTATGGAACTTGAGGTGTAAAAGCCTTCAAAATGAAAACAAAACGGTACTAACGGAGATATTTGGAATACCGACAAGCCACCACTCAGCCTGCAGCAATCTCCTTTTCCTTCACCTTGCACATATCCTCTGCCGACTTGATAAACTTCTTAGTCAATTCATCAACCTAGGGAAATGAACAAGCATCAGGCATGAGCACAATCCTTAAAAAACCGTCAAGTGTTTCTTCAGTAGTTATCCACTATTTAACTCACTTCTTTCTCCAATCTTTTGGCATCATCTTTTGGGAAACTTGAACCTGCTTTCTTCATCGTATCCAATGCCTGTACAAGGAAAAGGAGTTTGCCTAGACTATTAAACAATGCTACAGTATTTCATAAAGCAAATAACATAAAATTTGTAACCATTGTTGCAGCTTCTTCTGTGTGTAGTATGCGCTTGTAAAGTTTTTAGCAGTTTAGTTCGTTGATAGGGTGTTCATGTTAATCATAAAAAATAACAGAGATTAAAAACAAATATCTGCTCCAAATTAAGACCAGCAATATGCACTAGTTTTCCAGTAAAATATACTACTAAGCCAAATATATTGATAAATCACCAAATATGCATGAGAAATCATGATTCTTCCACTAGGCCACCATATTAACCAAAATGGCACTCAGAGCATGTCAATAATCTGTGACATCCAAAAGCAAAAAATGCCTTTAGTGGTTTCATTCTTTGTAATCTTCTCCTCTTATTTGGTTTTCTATCCAAGGAACAATAACACTTTGCAACAGAAAATAGTTCAAATGGAGAAAAAGAACTTTTTTTTTTTTTGCAGCTATACCTTCTGGCGAGCTCTTCTTATACTCTGCTTGACATCTTCAGAAGATTTGGTCACCACCTTGCACACAGCCTAGCAAAAAAGTGGCTTGATGCTAATAGCAATTGCAGAGAAAATGAATAAAAAGGACAAAGATTGGTCACATACATAAGCTTTATCATAAGGCCCGCGGCCTGCTTAGCCCGATTGGGCTAGCCCATCCTAAATGAGAGTGTGCCTCGACTTGAGCCTTGGGTTTGAAGCCCAACTTGGACATTTGGCAATCTATCAGCTTGGCCATTACACTGCCAGCGATTCCAACCCATTGAGTCAACTCGTGATCCCGTCAAAAATTATGAAACAAGGAGCAAATTGCAAATAGATGAAACAATCACAAAATAATTGCACTATAGATGAGAATATTTTTTGATGTAACTCTGACCTACAAAAAAAACTTGCACCAAGCATATGAATCGATTTGCACCATGCACATAGGATACTTGAACCATCATCAACTCTGACACACAGAAAAGACTTGCACCAAGCAAAGGAATCAATTTGCACCATACACAGGATATTTGAACCATCTTTATCCACTGTTCCATTGAAATGCAATTTTCCCAAAAAATATAGAAAAAAATAAAAAAATAAATAAAAATAGAAATTAAATCTTGACCCATTAGGCTAAGGCCGTAGATTGGCTTGCAAGCCTGGCTCGTTGGCCCGAGTATTGACCTAGTAAGCAACCTAGTCTAGGCCAAGTCCATTGGGCAAGGCTTGAACTAAAGGTTTTGGCTCACAACCTGACTCGGCTTGCCATAAAAAAGAAAAACATGCTGCCTTAGCCCACAAGCTGGCTTATGCTCCACTTTCACAGGCTAACCCTTACTCACACAGGATAATATTTTTCCTAGGATTCTGTACTCATGAATTGACAAGAGTTATAAAGCATACAAAGAGAAATAAAAAGAGAGAAAAGAAAAAAGTAAATGATATTGACGTCCACTGAGGTTTACGATAATCGTACATACCTCCCTTCAACTTTCTAAAATGACAATTACCTCCACTGAGTTATCTTATGTCAAGATGGTGTTAGTTTTACCATTTTACCCGTAGTTGCTCTGTGTCAACATTATTGTTCTTCTTTTTCTCGTATGGTAGTGTATGATTATGTAGTTTGATCTTTTCTCAATGTGTTTACTAGCAATTGACCTATACGACGCACTGTTAGGATCAAACACACCCAGAAATATATCTCACACACACAGGAAACACAATATTTACGTGGTTCGGCCCAATGCCTACATCCACGGACAGAAATGAGAAGTTTTCACTAAAATGGAGCAAAATACAAAATACAGAGGAGGAGATGAAACTCACTCAACTCACAGCTCTCACTCTCTAATTTCTGATCTGTATCTCATCCTCTCCCTCCCGTCTCTATTTATACACAAAGGAGTAGGTGGGAGAGCCTTCATTCTTGACTTTTGACATGGTTGGTGGCCACCAAGCTTGACTTGGTTGGTTGTCTTCCTTTGTTGACATGAGGATCACCCCTTTCACATGGGGTGACCTTCAACAATCACCCCCTCAGCCCATGTGAGGTGATCCACAACAAAACCTGCTGCCAAGGTATCAAGCACCCCCTGATTGGATGCACTGCACCCCCTGCTCGGGATACCCTTTACCGTGCAACTCCTTGCATGATGAACACGGGAGCAACTAGAAAACTTCAGAGTTTCTCCTTCCATGATGAACACGGGAGCAACTAGAAAAATTTTGACACATCAACATCCTCAATTTTCCTTGCTCGGAGCTTATTTCTGAACAACCAGCCTTTGCTTTTTGTACTTCAGAACAACTTCCCAGCGATCTCATACGCCCGTTGTCTGTGCTGCAATCCCTGATGTTCGGTTCTGTCTCACTTGTACGTCCGTTCTGATGTTTGACAGTTAGCCCTTTTGCCAAGACACCTTCCACCGGTCTGTACAAGTTACCACTATGCAACTCTGTGCATAGTGCTTGCACCCCCTTATTGGAGTGCATTGCAAAATGTCCACTTTGCGACTTGAAATTGCATCTCTCCCTTCAATGCATCTTTTGAGAGGTTGCAAAATGTCTTTAACACGGGAGCAAAAGAAACTCTCTTCTTCACTGGCATAGTCTCTACAGACTTGGTTTCTTTGCTCTGAACTTTCTTCAAGATTGGCTTCACTGGCTCAGATCTGTGCACCTGTGAACTGCCTCCTTGCGTTCCCGTGCACCGTTTTCACCATTCCTGATGAAAGCCTTGCTCAATCATACGCATTGGTTGCGTATGTTCTCTCTTTGTACCCTTCGACTGGCATTTGACAACACTCATCTTTGTCAAAACTTCTCCTTCCAGTCTATACAGTTTGTTGCACAATTTACCTTGCAACAGTTCTCTATCACCTTTGTGTACATGAAGAACCCCACCACTAGATAAGAAACAATTTCCTTTTAGATCTAGCATACTCAGGGAGATTAGATTCCTCCGTACTCCTGGCACATGTCGGACCTCAGATAAAATTACTTTTCTTCCATCCTTAGTAAGGAACCGCACTGTCCCTATGCCGACAACTCTATTCACTGTGTTGTTGGCCATCCGGATAATGCTACCGCTGACTCTTCGGTAAGTGGAGAAAAGCTTCCTATCCGCACATATGTGGAACGTACACCCTGAATCCAAAATCCAGCCGGGTGTTTCCAACTCTGACGAGATTGTAAGCATCACCTCTTCATCGTCAGAGGAATGCACTGCAACTGCTGTAGTTGAGGGACCTCCGTGTCCCTTAGCCTTCTCTTTGGCTTGTCTGTCCGCCTTCTTCTCCGGGCAATCTCTTATTACGTGATCCTCTTGATCACAGTAAAAACACCTCCTCATGTTGTCCTGTCTGGACTGTGAACGCCCTCTGCTTTTACTTCTTCCTCTACCTCTGCCCCTTTCTCTATCTCTGCCTCTACTTTCTGTGACAAGGGCATGAGACTGCTCTCCGTCCATCTCTTTCTTCCTTGCCTCCTCGTTGAATAAGGCGTCTGTGACCATCCCCATGGTCAGCTTCCCTTCGGGTGCAGAATTACTGAGAGAAACCACCAACGTCTCCCAGCTGTCTGGTAAGGAACTGAGTAATAATAATGCTTGCATCTCATCCTCCAACTCCATTTTGATTGATGCAAGCTGGTTCACAAGGCTGTGGAATTCACTGGTGTGTTCAGCAACAGACACACCATTCTTCAGCTTCAGGTTTATAAGCCTTCTCATTATCAAGGCTTTGTTCCGTGCGGTCTTGGACTGGTACATGCCCTCCAATTTCATCCATAGGGCATAGGCGTCTGTCTCTTGTATGCATGGCACACCCACCCCTTGTCCAATTTTTTTTCTTGTCACGTGTAGTTAACCTCTGACTTTAATGTTCTAATGTGGGCCCTTCTACAAAATAATTTATTTGGGCTCGTAAATTGCACGCAAATACATTGATGGTGCCCTTTTTTCAAACCAGAGCACTTTTAAAATTATCAATTTGAGTGCTTCCAACTCTATTGCTCTTCCTGTTTCCAATTATGTTGGAAATTGAGTTTAAAGATCAGTCCAGTCGCAAGGTTTTACTTCATGTTATTTAGGATATATTGCAAATATATCATCTAAAATTTACTTAAAATTTAGGTTATCTGATTTAAAAAATTATAAATATTTTTTTATTAGAATTTTTTTTAACAGAATTAATTGAAATTTTTTTTTAACTACTTTCATATACAATAATAAAATTATTTAAATTATTAATTGAAATAATTTTCTGATATCATTAAAAAACTGCTAGTTATCTTGATGATTTATTAATAAAATGAGTCATTTATTTTGAAATTAGAAATTTCAAGGGACAACATGTAATTTCTAAAATCACATGGGATAATTCATATTTTATATAAATTTCAAGAGATGTATTTATAATTTACCTTATTATTTATTAATAGTTCATTCTAATAAGGGTCTTAAATAGATTATACATTTTTTATTACATTTTACTTTCATGTAGATTATATAAAAAAAAAAATTTAACACTGTTAACAAATCTTTCTAACAATTGACCTTAAAGTATTTGTTAAAAAGTAATTAATAATTTTTTATTTTATTTAATGAATATTGAAATTTGTTAAATTTTAAATAATTATTACTTTTATGCATGAATTATGTAAAGTATTATTTACAAATTAATTAAATATAAATTTAAAAACTTTGGAAATATTCAAATAATAAATACATCTAATAATCTAATGAATAAGCTGAAAATAAAACTTTATTAACATAAAGACAAATTAATAGAAAGTTAATTACACCTTAACAAGTAGCATTAGCCTTTTTTTAATCAACAATGATTCATCCCACTAAAAACATCACCACTAATAGCACTAATGCATTAAAAAAATAAAAAATAATAAAAAAAAACACAACTCCAAGACCAAAATATCACATTATTAATGACGGGACCTATTGCCACCTAATTAGTGGGAGCACTAATTAGTGCTCCCAAGCATTTTTCTTTTTTAATTGATACTTTTTATGTTTAATACCAAGACAAGATGAAACATAAAACGGTGGTACTATATGCACCAATTAGTGTACACACTAGTATACCAACTAATGTTATGATAATAGTGTTGACAACATTTATTATATAAATTACAAATATCCAAAACTATACAAACAATACCACATCATCGATTAATACATTAGTGTGTACATTGATTAGTACATATAGTATTATTCAACATAAAAAGTTGGCGTCATTTGTGCTTGCCTAAGTAATTGGGTGGGATAAGTTTGAAACACCCAGGCGCCATAAATCAAGCCCTAATAGCTAAAGTTGCTTGGAATATTCACAGATCCAGACTCCCCTATTAGAAGGGTTTTCCTTTCCAAATATTGTAAGCACAATAATTTTCTGGATTGTAAATCAAGGGCAGGTTGTTCATGGGGTTGGAAAAGCATTTTATGGGGATGGGAACTTCTAAAAAAAGGTTTATTTTGGATAGTTGGTAATGGCTCTAAAATTGATCCTTTTAAAGACCAATGAAGGCTTAGGGGAAGATCAACAGGATGGAGAATGGAATTTGCTAGCTCGTTCCTCCTTTCGTA